TGGTCCCATATCCATCTGGACGTAAGGGACATGTTTTGTAGAGAAACATGCTTACTAAGCCGCGGGATGATGCGGTAGGGTGACCTGTTCCTTTCTGCCCTGACTTGACCCTAGCATGCTGGCGTCAGCATAACAGTGCTCATTCACAGCTGAGTCGACTGGGAGGGGCAGCCGGGAGCGAACCCAGGACCATGCGATTGCTATGACACCCCATTGTAGCAGTCTATTTCAGATTACAGCTTTCTTTGCGTCCATCCTGAAAAAGGTGTCAGCTTGGCAACCTCGTTTTGACCTTGGATTTCTCATGTTATTATTATGATGTCTATGACCATCAGACATGTATTTTTTCAGCGAAGTGGATATTCAGGAATTGATGAATATTCATCGTCATAAAAGATATGAAATATAAGACTTCATGTTATTTTCTACATTGTTGAAATTATTACTTCTAGGATAATGTATAAAGACAATGAATTTGATGTAAAGGTTTGATATGCTAATTTTATCTACACCTGTGCATATATTGCACTACATTGCACTGGCAAATAGAAATAAAATGGATAGATGACAATAACTGACCGAGAAATTCCCATTTCATTAGAATGAACAAGATATACAACACAAGTATTGGGAGTTGGTTCTATGATTTTTGCTATTCACCCTCCTTGGAACCACCCAGCTAATAGTTGCTCGAGTTGAAACAAGCAAACATGCATTTTCTCGCTCACCTCTTCGAATGTGGATACAACTCCTCAACGCCAAGACTCAATGCATAATAATAGCTGATTATACACTCTCGTAACTCATTACCAAGCATGACTTCATGTTTCCATAGACGACACACACACACACACACATCAATAACGAATCTACATATTCAGTGTAACCTAATTGTGATTTTGTTCATGCTCTGTATTGAAAAATCTAATTTAGCACGGTTTCTGTTTATTCAATATGTGTTTGATTCAAACAAAGATAAAAAAAAAAAAAAAAAAAAAAAAAAAAAAAAAAAATCATTAGGTCAATTACTAGATGGTGCAAGCATCAACGGTATTTACAGAGGTCTCAGGGATTTTACAGAGTTTAAGGTAATTTAGTTACCATACATAAATGTTCAAAGCATGAAACTTTTTCATGTTTTAAGAAATATGTATCTATAAATGATACTTATGCTGTAAGGAGTATGAAATGCTGCCTCCCTATCATAGATGTTGCCATTTGGATATGCAAACAATTCCAGGATATCGCATTTGAAGAATATCCAACTACAAAGTCAACGATAACTAATATTACATGCTTTGTTCTTTATCACTTATTAGAAGAAAGCGAAAGATCAAATAGCTTACTTAGTTTTAAAAAAATATTCATTAATACATTTATTGGTTACTTATTTTCGACCAATCACACTCTTTGTTACAAACTACCTAGGGTTTTAGCATCATTCACAAAACTACTATTTACGCTATGTTTACTTCGACTTGTTGCCAGAGGTACAAAAGTGGGACCCAGAAAGTGTACTGAAATATAATTCCACAACTGTACATATAGATAAACAAAATTTCCAAGTTACCTGTCAAGGGCACACTTCGCATCTTCTATTTCTTGTTTAATATCATCACTAACATTAAACATCAAGCGCTGAGGTCTGTCAAGTTCAATTGCTGGGAGTTTCCTCTCTTTCATGGTGCTGTCCCTGAAATGTTTTAATATAAGACTGAAATATCAGATAGTTTAAAATCTCTGTATTGATAGTATTAATACTCAAAGACCTAATCAATAATCATAAAAAAGAGCAAGGAAAAAAGTCACAAACTTACTTCTCATAATGACTGATAAAAGTATATCACACAATCTGATTTATAATAAGTTTTAACGGAAAAAAAAACGCTCTTCACATAACTAATTTCGATATTAATTTTTACCCAAAGACTGTAAAATGGTTTTGTTTGTATATATACAAACAAACACATGCACTTGACATTTGCAATCATATACACATATTTCTACATAAAGAAAGTTCAAATAGATTATATTATTCATTTCTTTAAAAAACTGAAACCAAGTTGGAACATTCACTTAGGTGTAAACACTAATAAAATGAGAAAGGGACAGTTTTCCATTTTAAATATCATGGAATTCATTTCCTTTACATAGCAAAGCCAAATATTAACTTACTCTCTCTGGAAGTTTCCAGTGTTTCTGAAAGAAAAAGTAACATGCTTTTGAAATGATATGAAGAAGCTGATAGACAAACACTTCTAAATGTAAAAAAATAAAAAAAATCACACAATAACTAGAATACAGAAAATGCATGCTAAATTTTTCAGCACTAATAGCAATTGTATACAAAACTTTGCACATATACCAACTAAATACAAAAAGCCAAAACATTCAATTACGTGAAGTTTTAACTAGAACAGCATGTGGATGAAAATCATTTGCAGAGAAACCTCACTTATATGAACCCATTGCTGAAGAATATAGTTAATATACTATTAATGACTAAACTTTACTATACAAATAAAAATCTGAAAACTGAACCTAGACTCATTTTCAGTGATCAATATAATTTCTAGGATAAAACCTCCTGTAAGCCTTATAATCTGTAATGAATTTCTCTTTACAAAAACAACAGACAAAGTAAACTTTTTATTAGTGAGGCTTCACTTTATATTCTATAAAGCCATATTCTTAAAAATAATAATACTGTAATAAATGGAAATAAAAAATAAACTTGAATTAAAACATGCTTTACATGACAACACACTTTTCCCTACAACAAAAATAAGAGTTATCTTACATGAAGTTCATTATATGATCCATTAAGTTGGCAATTGGTGGACCTTCTGCTGGTGTATGTTCATATGTTAGTCCTACTGCTCCTTTCTTCCCAATGATAAACTGGAGACAAATTTCATAAAGTAGGACCATTAGGAAATATAAAATACACTGCATTTCACTTGTACCTCTGGTTTATGAATAACTAAGTGACACTCATCCTTGCATTACTGGACCATTTATCTAATGTAGCATAATCCCACATTGGCTAAGAATATTATGATAGATTTCTAATTCTCTAAATATCAGACTTGTAATCATCTTTTCAAACTCTTATTTTCTCATAAATCTTATATTTCAAACATGAAACAAAGGGATAAGCTTGAAGCTGCTATGTCTATAGAGGCCTTTGCAATAAAATGATAACTATGAACCCTGAAACAACTTAAAAGCACTTGAACTTGCCTATACCTTAACCAATTTAACTGTGCATTTCAGCATCTAAAAAAATCCAAAGCTAAGAAATTTTATCTTGGCTCTATTACACTTCTACCTTAAGCAAAAAATAAGAAAAAAATATTACCTGAATAGTCTTATCATACCACCTGTTGCCAGCATAACCCTGTGAGCCATTGCCATGAACACAGAGTAATGCTGCATCAGTCATTTCATTCCCAGTTGGGTTGACAATAGGTCCATCTAAAGCTACTAGGAAGATAGATCTCTGAATTTCTTCAATAGATGCTTTGTTCAGTTTATCTGCAAAGGAATAAACAACTACCTGCTATACTTTGTAGCTATTTGCTTTCAATATATACAAATGCTGGTCTTCTGAGAGTAATACAAATTGCCCTTTCAAGGATAGACTCATTGCAGGGTGCCACAGATCATTACTTACCCTTCCTAAGTTTCTTATAAGCCTTCCCCCATACATTTCGATTCTGTGTACTGAGGATACCCACTGGACTGGTTGGATGGGTAGAGCGTTCAACCACATTTCGTAACTGATGCAACACTTGATTTATAGTCAGGGGTTTTCCTTCCTTTCCATAAACATCTATCTTGAAGAACTAAAGACAGCAAAGCAATTAGCTTTAATATATAAATTCTATGCTTCAGTTAATATAGCAAGAAAGTTATAACTTCAATAACAAACAATTCCTGCAATATACAGTAAAATAATCAATGTTTGGAAGATCTACTGTATTAACCTAACACAATCTATAAACAAAGCTATTACACAAACATAAAATGCTACTTACATGATTGTTATGTACCACCACAATATGTTTAGGAGGATTTTCAGACTGCCCATGATATACAATGGAATCCCGTGTAACTCCTGGGATACGGCATGTTCCCAACATCTTGAAATACTGGGACATGTCTAAGAGGTCTTTGCCCATGTGATCAATGGGCACAGTTTTACTAAAAAGATAAAGAATACAACTAAGTTTCCAATCTTTGCCAAAAAAAAATTATATCAGCAATAAAATTCCAACAACCATATTTTCCTTAAATAACTGTAAAAAGTATACATCATAAACAGATAAAAAATTAACCATCCTGAAGCAAGCCTAGGAAAAATAATCAAATTTTCAACACATGTGAAAAAATACAGTACTTATGCACAAACTTGTGACCTACTCATCCAACATTTTCTTGTAATCAAGAGCTCCAACAATAACTTTGGCAGCATAGCTTAGCTGGTCATCCAGTGTTCTGAATTCTTGTAATGGGAAAACCAGGCCTGGAGAGGACCATACCACAACAGGCCAGCGGTAGTCTAAATAAGCAGCGTTGATCCACCATTCACTAAGCTGTGATGAAAATTTATTCATATAGAAGCTGTAAAAAAAACAGGTTATAAAAGAATTGTACATTCAATATTTTGGACTAATTTCATCAAGTTCAACTAACCCAGTTGTCAGATTTCTTTGCCCTTTGCTGTAATTTTTCTTGTAATTTCATCAATCGTTGTTGTTTTTTTTTCTTTTTGTTGTAACCTGTCAGCGAGAAATTACTAGTAGCACCTTGCTGTAATTTTTCTTGTAATTGTTGTCCAATACCTCCAGGAGCAGCAAACTTTTTAACAATTTCCTCAGTTAACTGGAATTCTTCCTCAGTTACTAATGGTTTAACTGTTCTGCAAATGTTTAAAGAAGTTTAAAACATATTGCTAAGCATTCACTAGAATACAGCTTTTCAATCTAAAAGAGTTATATACTATATGCATAAGAGACTAATTATCTAAAAAATATTTTTTTTCTTTATCAAATTTGATAGACTATACTATGTTGTTTTAACCAAAACAAGTGTCTTACTCCATTTTGCTTGAAATCTAGTTGTTATGAACAACCTACTTTTAAACACTAACAAGCCTAGACTTTAATTGCACATAAGTAAAAAATATATCCAAAAAAAAAAAATATTTTGAAAGGAGCTTTTAGAATTCTCAATGCAGAACACTCTTCTTATTAAATCTTAACAGCTTTCTCTCATTCATCTTTTTTTCTATGAATTCTGTATTTTCACACATTTTATACTTTGACTATGGTACAGGAGATCAACATACACCATAATTTAAAGGTAATGTACATTCCCATTCTATGTGGAGTCATTAATTGCACGTAAGTAAAAAAAAGTTGAGTGCACTCACTTATTGTGTCTACATCAAGTATTTAATAATATCTTACTGCTATTAAATATTTCCAAGTCACACAAAATATAAATAGTGCAGCATCAAGAACTACACTGAACAAACTATTTTGATATTTCAACTAAAAAAGGACTGCACTGGCTAGACAGAAATAAAAAGGGTTCAGAAGGTGGGTCTTGGGGCAAAGCCCCTGGGTTTGGGAGGATTTAAGTTCATATGGCATTCTCTTTGTGCATTTACGAAGTGAATAATAAATGCCAGTTGGGGACTTAGCCCATCGCAAGTCCAGTTATGTTGAAAACTTTTACCTATTCTTTTTACATTTAATTTACTAACTTCTTTTCATACTCTCACCAGTCATTAATATCAATACATGAGGCATGACACATGAAACACATTATCAAACTTTTCCAGAAGATCTAAACAACATCCTAATGCCAATCCTAAAAATATGAGTAAATCATAGACATAGGGGCAGAACATACCTTCTTCCTGAAATACACAAGCATTAATTTTTACATATACACTGCAATTACAGTGCAATCAAGTAATTCAGTTTAAAAGCCAATTTTAAGGAAAGGTCTTACTTGAGATACTTATTCAGGGTCTCTTCAAGGGGAGGCACAGGAAGGCGTGGCAGGGACCCCTGATGATCATGAAGAGATCTTGATGGAGCAACCATTGTGTACACACGACCGTATGTATCCACTCCAACCACTCCTCAGCCCCTGACAAAGTATAATCAACTCTAAAGCTATTACTGATAATGAGCCTAATGACAAAGTATCATTAATTTAGACTAGTGCAGTAATGTGTCTACTTGCACTTATTATTAGTTAACATTTAGGAATGTTTCATATAGCAGTTGCTAAAACTATGTTTCAATACAGGGGTCTTTCCTTATTCATGGTAATGTAAGCCATTGCATAACCCATTTCTCTTATCATAAAAAAAATGCACTGTAATGTCATTTTAAAGGTGTTAATTCTCTCAACAGTTCACAAACAAAATTTCTACTGCCTCAGTCATGAATGAGAATGAATAATTCCCCAAACAGAAAATTATCCTTTCAATATCACACTTTTCTGAAAGGACTGATTCTGATATAGATAGTATACCATGTAATGTGATACCACACATTCTCATTCATAAATCTTCATTATTCAAAATGAATTCTGCATATATTGTGGCTTAAACTCCCTTGGCTAGGTTTAACTTATCTTTTATCATTATCTGTGCACCCTTGACTTGAGAATATTATCTTTGAAGTTCATGAATTTGGTCTTTTGACAAAACTCGACTGGATTCTATTTAATATCAATATTCAAGGGAACTTTAAGGTTAATCTAAGGATTCTCTATTGAGCATTAATACCTACATTATTAATTGGTGTCAAAATATTCACCCTTCACAAAACTGAATTACGAATGCTACAAATGCTCCACTTGATATAACTTAGTCCAAAACGAAATCCATCCAACTAAAATAATAAAATTGCAATATATTTTGCCATGTAACCCATTTTGCTATATAACCCACCCACTACCTATGGTAAATAAAAACATAACACCACAGAACTTGGAGAATAAACATATACCACACACCTGCCGAAGGAGAAGTGATGCTGATAATGCCATGATGTCAGCCTCACAGAGATCTATCAGCTGGAATTACGGTATCTGCAGTTATCAGCTGGGATGTACTCTGGACATCAGCTGACGCATAACAACACCCGCCTTTCGGCCACTTCCCTGGCACACACGCAGGTGGCGGTTTCTGGCAACGAGACGGATCCAAACAGAGGTAGTTTGATCGTTTTAAAAGAAATTTATGGTTGTTTGTTCCTTGGTACTTTCATGACACGAAAATACTCTTTAAAGTTAATATATGCATTGCACCCTTGTACAGTGTATTTATGCATACGTTTTCGTAGAAAATAAATGAATAGATAAATTAATCTACACATACATAAACAAATATATATATGCATAAAACATATATGTATATATACATGTATATATATAAATACACACACATACACACACACACACGCATACAGACACACATATATACACATACATACATATAGATATACTCTGTGATAGATCTCATTACACAGAATCGTTTAAGGCGATATCGCTACATCGACACAGTATCGCCAATGCTTTATTGGTCAGCTCGGTCGCTCGATCCTCTCTTGGTCAGCTCGGTCGGTCGTCTCTCTTTTGGTCAACTCGGTCGGTCGTCCCTCTTTTGGTCAGCTCGGTCGGTCGTCCTCGGTCTCTTTTGTCAGCTCGGTCGGTCGTCCCTCTTTGTCAGCTCGGTCGGTCGTCCCTCTTTTTCGTCGTCAGCTCGGTCGTCGTCCCTCTTTTGGTCAGCTCGGTCGGTCGTCCCTCTTTTGATCAGCTCGGTCGTCGTCAGCTCGGTCTCCCTCTTTGTCAGCTCGGTCGGTCGTCCCTCTTTTGGTCAGCTCGGTCGTCGTCCTCTTTTGTCAGCTCGGTCGGTCGTCCCTCTTTTGGTCAGCTCGGTCGGTCGTCCCTCTTTTGGTCAGCTCGGTCGGTCGTCCCTCTCTTGGTCAGCTCGGTCGGTCGTCCCTCTTTTGGTCAGCTCGGTCGCTCGTCCCTCTGGTCAGCTCGGTCGGTCGTCCCTCTTTGTCAGCTCGGTCGGTCGTCCCTCTTTGGTCAGCTCGGTCGGTCGTCTCTTTGGTCAGCTCGGTCGGTCGTCCGGTCAGCTCGGTCGCTCGTCCCTCTTTTTGGTCAGCGGTCGGTCGTCCCTCTTTTGGTCAGCTCGGTCGTCGTCCCTCTTTTGGTCAGCTCGGTCGGTCGTCCCTCTTTTGGTCAGCTCGGTCGGTCGTCCCCTTTTGGTCAGCTCGGTCGTCGTCCCTCTTTTTGGTCAGCTCGGTCGGTCGTCCCTCTCTTGGTCAGCTCGGTCGCTCGTCTTTGGTCAGCTCGGTCGCGTCCTCTTTTGGTCAGCTCGGTCGGTCGTCCCTCTTTTGGTCAGCTCGTCGGTCGTCCCTCTCTTGGTCAGCTCGGTCGCTCGTCCCTCTTTTGGTCAGCTCGGTCACTGGACCTCTTTGGTCAGCTCGGTCGCTCGACCCTCTTTTGGTCAGCTCGGTCGGACCCTCTTTTGGTCAGCTCGGTCGCTCGTCTTTTGGTCAGCTCGGTCGGTCGTCGTCAGCTCGTCATCAGCTCGGTCGCTCGTCCCTCTTTTGGTCAGCTCGGTCGCTCGTCGGTCAGCTCGGTCGCTCGACCCTCTTTTGGTCAGCTCGACCCTTTTGGTCAGCTCGGTCGCTCGCCCTCTTTGGTCAGCTCGGTCGCTCGTCCCTTCTTGGTCAGCTCGGTCGCTCGTCGGTCAGCTCGGTCGCTCGTCCCTCTTTTCAGCTCGTCGTCCCTCTTTTGGTCAGCTCGGTCGTCGTCTCTTTTGGTCAGCTCGGTCGTCGTCCCTCTTTTGGTCAGCTCGGTCGGTCGTCCCCTTTTGGTCAGCTCGGGTCCCCTCTTTTGTCAGCTATCAGCTCGGTCGGTCGTCCCTCTTTTGGTCAGCTCGGTCGCTCGTCTCTCTTGGTCAGCTCGGTCGGTCGTCCCTCTTTTGGTCAGCTCGGTCGTCGTCCCTCTCTTGGTCAGCTCGGTCGCTGTCCCTCTTTTGGTCAGCTCGTCACTGGACCCTCTTTTGGTCAGCTCGGTCGCTCGACCCTCTTTTGGTCAGCTCGGTCGCTCGACCCTCTTTGGTCAGCTCGGTCTTTTGGTCAGCTCGGTCGCTCGACCCTCTTTGTCAGTCGGTCGCTCGACCCTCTTTTGGTCAGCTCGGTCGCTCGACCCTCTTTTGATCAGCTCGGTTCGCTCGACCCTCTTTGGTCAGCTCGGTCGCTCGTGTCAGCTCGGTCGCTCGACCCTCTTTTGGTCAGCTCGGTCGTTCGTCCCTCTCTTGGTCGTCGTCGTCGTCAGCTCGGTCGTTCGTCTCTCTTGGTCAGCTCGGTCGGTCGTCCCTCTCTGGTCAGCTCGGCTCGTCCCTCTTTGGTCAGCTCGGTCGTCGTCCCTCTTGGTCAGCTCGGTCGGTCAGCTCGTTCGGTCCCTCTTTGGTCAGCTCGGTCGGTCGTCCCTCTTTTTGGGTCAGCTCGGTCGTCGTCCCTCTTTTGGTCAGCTCGGTCGGTCGTCCCTCTTTTGGTCAGCTCGGTCGGTCGTCCCTCTTTTGGTCAGCTCGGTCGGTCGCCCTCTTTTGGTCAGCTCGGTCGCGTCGTCCCTTCTTTTGGTCAGCTCGGTCGGTCGGGTCAGCTCGGTCGGTCGTCTCTTTTGGTCAGCTCGGTCGGTCGTCCCTCTCTTGGTCAGCTCGGTCTCGTCCCTCTTTTGGTCAGCTCGGTCGGTCGTCCTCTTTGGTCAGCTCGGTCGCTCGTCCCTCTTTGGTCGCTCGGTCGCGTCGTCCCTCTTTTGGTCAGCTCGGTCGGTCGTCCCTCTCTGTCAGCTCGGTCGGTCCCTCTTTTGGTCAGCTCGGTCGTTTTGGTCAGCTCGACCCTCTCTTGGTCAGCTCCGCTCGCCCTCTTTGGTCAGCTCGGTCTCGACCCTCTTTTGGTCAGCTCGGTCGCTCGACCCTTTTTGGTCACCCTCTTTTGGTCAGCTCGGTCGCTCGACCCTCTTTGCAGCTCGGTCGCTCTCTTTTGGTCAGCTCGGTCGCTCGTCCCTCTTTTGTCAGCTCGGTCGCTCGGGTCAGCTCGGTCGTTCGTCCCTCTTTGGTCAGCTCGGTCGGTCGTCCCTCTCTGGTCAGCTCGGTCGGTCCCTCTCTTGGTCAGCTCGGTCGGTCGTCCCCTCTTTGGTCAGCTCGGTCGCTCGTCCCTCTTTTGGTCAGCTCGGTCGCGTCCCTCTCTTGGTCAGGTCTCCCTCTTTGGTCAGCTCGCGCTCGTCCCTCTTTTGGTCAGCTCGGTAGCTCGGTCCCTCTTTTGGTCAGCTCGGTCGGTCGTCCCTCTTTTGGTCAGCTCGGTCGGTCCCTCTTTTGGTCAGTCGGTCGGTCGGTCAGCTCGGTCGGTCGTCCCTCTTTTGGTCAGCTCGGTCGTCGTCCCTCTCTTTTGGTCAGCTCGGTCGGTCGTCCCTCTTTTGGTCAGCTCGTCGCTCGGGTCAGCTCGGTCTCGTCCCTCTTTTGGTCAGCTCGGTCGGTCGTCCCTCTCTTGGTCAGCTCGGTCGCTCGACCCTCTCTTGGTCAGCTCGGTCTCGTCCCTCTTTTGGTCAGCTCGGTCCGTCCGGTCAGCTCGGTCGGTCGTCCCTCTCTTGGTCAGCTCGGTCGGTCGTCCCTCTTTGGTCAGCTCGGTCGGTCGTCCCTCTTTTGGTCAGCTCGGTCGGTCGTCCCTCTTTTGGTCAGCTCGGTCGTCGTCCCTCTTTTGGTCAGCTCGGTCGTCGTCGTCAGCTCGGTCGGTCGTCAGCTCGGTCGGTCGTCCCTCTTTTGGTCAGCTCGGGTCGTCCCTCTTTTGGTCAGCTCGGTCGACTCTTTGGTCACCCTCTTTTGGTCAGCTCGGTCGCTCGTTTGGTCAGCTCGGTCGGTCGTCCCTCTCTTGGTCAGCTCGGTCGGTCGTCCCTCTTTTGGTCAGCTCGGTCGTCGTCCCTCTTTTGGTCAGCTCGTCGCTCGTCCCTCTTTTGGTCAGCTCGGTCGCAGCTCTCGCTCGACCCTCTTTTGGTCAGCTCGGTCGCTCGACCCTCTTCA